CTAGAATATTATAAATACGATAGTGTGTACGTTGTAATGATAGTAAATGACACCAATAACAACCTTCCTGATGATCACTCACGCGAAGGCGCCTTCCAGGAGTCTGGTGCTCGCTTGAGGTATATACAAATAAAATCTCCATCGAATGTAAGTAACTCGAGGGATGAGATGAACATCATGGCATGTCAGGTGAGATCTTCGTAAAGGATGGGAAGATTAGATTAGTGATGACCATCAATATACTCAGGGGAGGTGCAACAGATAAAGAGCCAGAAGCGAGTCCAGCGTCCAGCGTGTTTGATCATTACATGAGGATTGGTGTTGGAAGTTGTAGCTTCGGGGAGTAGCGATGGCTGGTGGTATGGTAGACTGCATGGAGATAGCAGCATGTGGCTGTGAAGATGATTGTGACTGAGCCGCGCCACTGGATTGCTGCGTGGCATTTGGGTGTGAGGTACTTGCAGTAGCGTTTTTCGAAATTGGCCTCCGCTTTTCTCTTGCACAAGCGTTCCTCTGTGCGGTGCGAAATGAAGTGCGAACTTCTGAGAGGGAAGAAATGACATACACGTTTGCCCTTGGCATACGGGATATCAACTGAGCGCCGCTCGATCCCAGAGCCACTTCCCCCAGAGAGTAGGTTTCGAGTCCAGTGAAACAGGCGGGATAGGGATGACGTATCATGAACATCGGGTCGTGCAGGAAACTGAGAACATAAAATCAGGAAAATACAGGAGGAGATGCTAACTACTTACACGAGCACGATCTGGTGAGTCGTCGAAAAAAACTCGGAGTACCCGAGGGGAGACCTTAATTGGCTGACGGACAGGACGTCGTGTAGCATCAACCTAGAATGCATAAGCTCAAATGCAAAGAGAACTCTCAATGAAAACATCACTTACTGAGTTGTCGCGCTGGTCCGAAAGAAGGTCGTCGAGGCCGGCTCCTTTTAATACAGCAGGAATGTCCCATGTATATACATTCTTGTCATCGCAGCCAGTGGCTAGTAGTTTTCCATCTGATGAAAAGGAAACGCTGTTCATGAAATTCGTATGGTGGAGGGGCGAACTGATGGGCTGGCCGTTGTCGAGGTTCCACAATTGTGTTGTATTGTCGGATGATGTACTTGCGAGAATGGGGCCATTCGGAGATATTGCAATGGCAAAGACAGTGCCAGTGTGCCCATCGAGTAATGCGATCTGTTTCCAGTTTGAAGTATTCCATGTCCTAATCGAGCGATCAGATGACCCAGATATAAGTGTTTTTCGATCCAAAGTCCAAGCCAAGCAAAACACAGGGCGCTTGTGCCCTTTGAGAGTAGCAACAACCTTGCCTGTCTTCGCATCCCAGATTTTGACTGGGTGCTCGTTATCAGGAACCGTGGGCTCGTCGCATCCACCAGTTGCAAACATGGTCATGTCTGGCGAGTAGACGACTTTGTACACGTTTTTGTGCCCAGTCTTGATTGGACCGAGGTTTGTCTCTCCCTTCTCCACGTCCCACTCCTTTACAATCCCATCAATGGATCCGCTCACTACTCGCTGACCATCTCGACTCCAGCACACAGACCACACTGTTTTTGTATGTCCCATCCATTTCGCGATAACTTTGCCTGTGTCGATGTCCCACAATCTCATTCCGCCGTCCTCACTTCCGCTAACAACTTTCTTCCCGTCCGGAGACAATGCCATCGTCCATACTCCGCTATCTCCGTCCCGCCAGTTGTTGCCTATCTGTTTCCCGCTCTTCAGGTTCCATATCCGCAACGAACCGCCACTCGAACAGGACATGATCCGCTGTCCGTCTGGCAGATGTATGACGCCAGTGACCCAACCGGTGTGACCTTCGAATTTCTGACAGGGCTTTATCGATGTTGATGTCTCTTGCGTCACAACAATGGGTGAAGACATAATCAACTACCGCGCGCACGTCTCAGCTTTCATCCAACAAAGTCCAAAATCATCACTCACCACGATATGTTTCTTAACAGATCTTAACACCAAGACACAGTGGGCGTATAGGTCAAGAGTGCACTAGAAGTCTGAGCTGGTACGTTTCCCATGCATTATCCTCGTATGGCGTATGCTGTGCAACGACCTAAGCCTCATTTGTGATCGCATTCCATCATTCACAATTTTTGTCTCCGGCTTTACTACCTGGTCATTGTATAATATGCTAAATTGTGCATCCACCTCTCCCCAACCAACTCCTCCTTGAACGCGCTCGTCATCTCCGAGTCGCCAACTCGATACACATCTCGTGCGTAAAATGTATATCTTACTGCGTCTCACTACGAAAAAACTACGCCGAACCCTAATTAGCTACATGTTACTTAACGGTTTTACTCCATGTTGGTGTCTCTTACTTGGGTCCTGGCGCCGATCCTAGCATTTGTTTAAGCGACGGTAAAATTGATAAACCTTCCGCACTCCGCGGCAAACCTTCAGCTTCAACTCGACACAAATTGCAGAATCCCGAACTAGCCGCAACCAGAAAGGGGTAGAATCTCCCTCATGCATATGACTTCCTTCTATTGGGCGTATCCAACATCCACTGGGAAGCTGGTTCTGTTCTGTGTCAAACCAAGCGGTTGTCATCCTTGATCATCACGACCTGATGTCAGTTCAACGTTCAACTGTCACCGATCCACTCAAACGCCCTATCATTATACAGATAACAGACCCGTACGCACAGACTCGCATACCCACACATAAGTTATGTCTATCTACTGCAGGAGTATTATTGAGAAAACTCACTCACTGATACGTGACATGTTAGTTTAAGATACGCTTGTGGTTGCTTGGTAGGTTGGGCTCCCACGTGCCTAAGCGACGTTGGCGCCAGCTGATGCTGACTGGTTGTGGAGGCAAGAATGGCGTTAGTTGGACATATGGTCGTTGGTAACTTGTCTTCGGCTGATAATGAGTGGGTGACAACTGAAGCTTGAAGCATAGTAACAATCCCAAAGAGTCTCTGAGCTGTCGTTGGTCGGACGAAGGGAAGTGCCACGGTGATATCACGAGTTAGTACCAGGCTACACGTGATAATCGAGCGGGCCACCTAACCTTGCTCGTTCCCGACCACAGCGGCTCATAGCTTGTCGAGCCACTGCCGCCGCATCAGATGTCCTTTATCTTCGTCGTTCAAAGTAATATGTCGTATATTAAGACCTAAAGGCTCCGCAATCAACGAAACGCACCCTAAAGAATCCACCGGTTCTCTGATGGCGGCCCCCATCGAATGGCATGACATAGGTGGCGCGTCTCCGAGTTGTCCCTGCCGACAAACATGTGCCCTACGATTCCCCACATCTCCAAAAGCCTAGTGAAGTTTGCAGTGATAGCCGTGCTGAATAAGTCGTAGGTTCGGAGCTCCGATTAATCGATAGGTCGATCGGTCATGAGGCCTCTAGCCAGTGGCCATGCATGAGGCCAACTTGACATTAACCAAGGGTCGTGCTTCTGAACTGTCCGACCCAGTGCGTTTGCCGAACACTGGTGTTTGGATTGAATCCAACGTCATGTGAGCCTAAAAAATTGACGATTCCACTGCATTACTTTGTTGTTTGCACTGCCAAGAGGCTGTTGTTATTTTGGTTGCCAGACGTAAGTCACAAGCTGTGGTGCGATATAGACGATGTGATGCATCAAATTTAATTTCCTAAAGGAATTGTGTATTTGGTACGGACCGCGATTCATGGATTCTTACGTACCTGGTTGTCCTGCCAGCCACGGCTTTGATCAGGGACCGACCCTACTATACTACGCAGTACTTCAAAGTTCAAGCGCAGTATGAAGTTCAACTGCATCCGCTTCATGCTCACTCCCGTCACAGCCTCTCGCAGCTGCTAGCTTTGCAGCTGTCAAACTCATAGAGGTTTCGTTTTTACGCAATGAGGCAGCTCAGGGTAGCACCCACTAGCACTGCCCTTGTCCACCATGATTTCATACAAAAGGCAGCCATCCATTCCATCATACTCCATAATTTCATCACTCCTCCTCTTCCCTCCACTCCAATTTTTCAGGAACAATGGCTCTCGACTCTCATGGCGTCCTTGCAGCAGTGACCATCGCAATGTATGTTCCCTTCCTGCTAGTTTCCATCAAGATAGTGTCCAAGTACGGCATGGCCCGAGGTGATGGGTGGATCTTGCTGTTGGTATTCTGCATCAGTAAGTCGTTTGATTTATTGAAGACATAATTTTAACCCTATTACACCTTCAGTTCGAGTATTGGGTGGTGCTTTGCTTGTCGCAGCTGAGGAAGTTACTCCCGTGAACACTTCGCTATACATCGGTGGTTATGCTCTAGAAGCATCTGGCCTATCACCACTGTTGCTTTGCACGCTGGGTCTGTTGCACTCAATGTGCGTTCATCCAGTTGCCATTTTGTATGGAATGCACTGAACATTACCATAGATTCCAAACTCCTGATGGATTTCCGAGATATCAAAGACCATTCCGCCTTCTTCAACTCCTCGGCATGATCGCTCTCATCCTTACCATTACCGGTATCTCCGATGAGACAAGTTCTAGCTCGGGCTCAAGCTCGAGTGGGAACATTATGCGCAGAGCCGGTGTCATCCTCTTTGCCGTCCTATACATTATCCTTGTCGGCATTTGCGTGCACCAATGGACCCAAATCCGCTCTGTCATGAGATACCGCAAGCAGGTGAGCTTTTCGAAGCACCGTCATCTATCCGACCAATGTTCTTACGCATTATCTTCAGCTCTTGAAGGCCATCTCCGTCGCACTTCCCTTCCTGGCTATTCGGACGCTCTACAGCATATTGTCCACATTCTCTTCGAGCTCGTTTTCGATAACCTCAACTTCAACCACCCAAGCCGACACTAGCGATCTCGCAAAATTCAACATCTTCACGGGCGAATGGCAGATCTACCTCGTAATGGATATGCTCATGGAGTATGCCGTTGTGATCATCTACTGTGTTGCAGCCCTCGTGCTTCCCCTCAGCGAAGATTACAAGTCTCCAGAATCGTATCAAGACCAGTACCCAATGAATGCGCCTCAGTATTGAGCGTTCAGGCGTCAGTGAATGAGAGTCATGTCCGGTTACGGAGCCGTATTTCGGTTCAATGGATTTAATGATACCATCCCCATGATAGCATCTGTTTACAAGGTCACCTACCGCTCGTAAATATGTTGTCATAGGTTGGCTTAATAGTGTGGTATTAATTTATTTTATGACCTGGTTCAAATAAACATATGCATATCTCGATGTCACTTATGGATGCCTCTGAGGGAGTAGGGATACTGAAAACAAATACCGAGGACCTTCAAGTCCCCAGTACTAAGTTGACTGACATGAGGACCGAGTTGCTCATTGACAGGAATATGACCGAGTCCGATCGTCATGCATCATGGCCTTACAACACAATAAATAACCATGTCGATGATCGAGATTAGAGACCAGACATCTACCATCTATCATATGTAAGGAGAATCGTTCCGTGGAAGCAATTTCCGGGGCTCCTATGTGTGGGGCTCCACACGAGGTCCCAATAAAGTATGTGATAAACAACGTTATGCCTCTATTGTATGTACTCGAGGAATAGATAACATATGGAAAGTAAGAGATCGTCGTAAATATTAATGATGGCCGTCAGTATACTCAGGAGAGGTGCAGCAGATAAGGAGCCAGAAGCGGGTTCAGCGTCCAGCGTGTTTGATCGTAGCATGAGGATTAGCATTCAAAGTTGCATTAGCAACGACGGGAGGTGCAGTGGAGGTGGAGACGGTAGCATGCGGTTGCAAAGACGACTGGGTTTGAGCTGCGCCGCTGGATTGCTGCGTGACGGTGCTATTGGGAGGGCGTGAGCTGCTCGCAGTAGGATTTTTTCGGATTGGCCTCGGGATTGGCCTCCGTTTCTCTCTTGCTGAAGCATTTCTCTACGTGATGTGAGATAGAGTTCGAAGGAGAAAATGATATCAGGAGTTGAACATCCGAGAAGGATACAGTGACATACGGGTTTGGCCTGGCAAAGCGGGACGTCAACTACTGCTGGGGGACGTTCATGCAGCTCGATATGTGCAGCGCTTCGTCTGGCAGAAAGACGATTTCGAATCCAGTGGAAAGGACGGGGGCGGGATGGCGTATGGCGTGTATCAGGGTGCATAGGGCGGAATAAAGATGACAAACGGCTACGAAGGGTGTGTCCAAACGATGGTGGTGGTAGGGAGTGGGTGCGGTATTGTGCAGACAACTGAAAACATTGTGATGAAAACAATATTGGATGAGATATAATTAACGACGTACGTGAGCACGGTCAGGTATGTCGTCGAAAAAACCTCGGGGTACTTGATTTAGGACCTTGATCGGCTGACGGACAGGACGTCGTGTAGCATCAGTCTAGAAAGCATAAGCTTGGGTGCAATGAGGATTGTTTATGAGAGTTTCACGTACAGCGAGTAGCGACTTGTTTCGCTTGTCCAAAAGAAGGTCGTTGAGGCCAGCTTCTTGTAATATTGCAGAAACATCCCATGTGTACGCGTTATCATTGAAGGCAACCGGTGGCTAGTAGTCTTCCATCTGGACGCAAAGGACACACAGAGCACGTAAAGCGTATGATGGAGGGGCGAGCCAATGGGCTGGCCGTTGTCAAGGTTCCACAATTGTGCGGTGTTGTCATTCGATGCGCTTGCGAGGATGCGGCCATTTGGAGATATTGCAATGTCATTAATAATGTCGGTGTGCCCCATCACAGCGATCTGTTTCCAATTTGAAGTATTCCATGTTTTAATCAACCCGTCGGTTGACGCGGAGATAAGTATTTTTCCATCCGGGGTCCAAGCCAACTGATTCACGCAAAGTGTGTGTCCTTTGAGAGTGGCGACAAGCTTGCCTGTCTTCGCATCCCAAATTCTGACTGGTTCCTCGCGTACTGTGTATACCAGTTGCGCTAGTGTTCCAGGAGTCCACTTGTCGCATCCACCGGTTGCAAACATGGTCATGTCTGGCGAGCAGATGACTGCGTGCACTTGTTGGTGCCCAGTCTCAATTAGACCGAGGATTGTCTTTCCCTTCTCCGCGTCCCACTCCCTTGCAGTTCCATCGAGGGATCCGGTCACCACTCGCCGACCATCTCGACTCCAACAGACAGAAACCACTTTTTCTGTATGTTCCATCCATTTCGCGATGACTTTGCCTGTGTCGATGTCCCACAACTTCACTGCGCCGTCTACACACCCGCCGCTAACCACTTTCTTCCCGTCCGGAGACAACGCTATCGTCCACACTTGATTGTCTCCGTCCCGCCAGTCGTGTCCTATCTGTTTCCCACTCTTCAAGTCCCATACTCGCAGCGAGTCTCCTGAACAAGTCATCATCCGCTGTCCGTCTGGGAGATGTATGGCCCCAGTGACCCAATCGGTGTGTCCTTCGAATTTTTGGCTGGGCGTTATCTTTGATCCACCCTGCATCCCAACGTTGGATGAAGACATGATCCTCAGTTTCAACTATAGAGTGTATCATTGTCTCAGCTTTCATTCACCAAAGTCCAAAATCATCACTTACTACGATGTGTTTTGACACCGAGACACAATGGGCGTTTAGGTCAAGTCAGAATTGAGTACTGGAAATTCGAGCTGGTACGTTCACATTTGGTATGATAGGCTGTGCAGCTGAAGCGCCCAAGCCTAGGCCTCGGCCTCATTTCTGATCATGACTTATATTCCATCAGTCGCAATCTTGGTTCCCGTTTTCACAGCCTGGCCAATGGTAAATTGCGCCCCAGATATTTGCCTCTCCAGCAAACTACTCTTCGAACGCGCCCGTCGTCTGGCTCAGGCTGTTCTATGTCTGTCAAAGCTGCATTAACCAAGCGATGATACCTGATGTCAATCCAACCGTCATCGAGGGATGGTCTCCGTCATCACAACCGCCCGAATGTGTCTCCTCTCAGCTATAGTGCTAATCGGACTACTACCTGACCAGTAGTGCAGGCTGACAGGAACTTGTCATGATCACCGAACATATCAGCGATACAAATGATACTTGTATCGGCGTCCGCACATTGAGATAATCGATAATGACTTCCACGTAACGACTGACAATATCAATCCGCGTCGCTTGCAAACCTTATTTTGACACCAGCCTTTTCATTCAAACTCGGTTTCGCCTTCACTACTAGTAAGTAGTTCTGCGTAACGCATCTCACAAATCTGCCGTGTGCCTTTGCAATACCTAGCTCTTTGTACGACGCTAGACGATGTTGCAGTCTTTATTTATGTGCCGAGCTAATCGCAGTATTCATATTTCACGTTATTTGCAACTGCTGTATATGTGTCCACGATCAGTGGATGACGGGTGACGTGCTATAAGCTTTATTGTAGACTCCACACGATGTATTCTTCACACTGCCGGTCCAGCCAGCTGAGGCTGGATGCAAGTAAGATTGCTGCCAACGCCGGTAATCACGCTCCTATAAACATGTTACAAATAACTACGTCGATAATGAAGTTTAGAAACCAGACATATACCATCTACCATATGTAAGAAGAATCGTTCCGTGGAAGCAAATTGCGTGGCTCCCATGTACGGGGCTCCACACGAGGTCCCAATAAAGTATGCGATAAACAAATTTATGCCTTCATTGTGTGTACTCGAGGGATGGGATAACATATGGGAAGTAATGGATCGTCGTAAAGATTAATGATGGCCGTCAGTATACTCAGAAGAGGTGCAACAAATAAAGTGCCAGAAACGAGCCCAGCGACCAGCGTTTGTGGTCGTGGCATGACGATTAGTATTTGAAGTTGTATTAGCGACGATGGGAGGTGCAGTGGTGGTGGAAACGGCAGCATGCAGTTGCGAAGACGACTGGGTATGAGCTGGGCCGCTGAATTTCTGCGTGATGGTGCTATTGGGAGGGCGTGAACTGCTTGCAGCAGGATTTTCCCAGATTGGCCTCCGTCTCTCTCTTGCTGAATCGTTTCTCTACGTGATGTGAGATAGAGTTTGAAGGAAAAAATCATATCAGGAGGAGTTGAACATCCGAGAAGACAAAGTGACATACAAGTAGCGGCTGGCAAATAAGGAGAAAATGATATCAGGAGTTGAACATCCGAGAAGGATAAAGTGACATACGTATCTGTTCGGCCGGCAGGAGACTTCAACTACTCTTGGGGGGCGCTTGTGCAACTCGATGTCTGCACCACCTGACTTGCCAGAAAGATGATTTCGAACCAAGTGGAAAGGACGGGGGTCGGGGTGGCGCATCGTGTGCATCCGAGTCGGGGTGTATGGGGCGGAATAAAGTCAAAAAAACGGCCACGAAGAGTGTTTCTACGCGATGGCAATGATAGAGGCCGGGGACGGTGTTTGTACAGACAACTGAGACCATTAAGACAATAAAAACAGGACCAGTGCATGAGGCATTATTAACGACGTACGTGAGCACGATTTGGTGTGTCCTCTAAAAAACCACGGGGGTACCAGAGAGGACTCCATGGTTGACTGACGGACAGGATGTGGTGTAGCATCAGTCTAGAATGCGCAAGCTTAAATGAAAAGAGAACTGCTGATGAGATCGTCACGTACAGCGAGTAGCGACTTGTCGCGCTGGTCCAAAAGAAGGTCGTCGAGGCCAGCCTCTTTTAATATCGCAGAAATATCCCATATATACGCGTTGTGGTCATCGCAGCCGGTAGCTAGCAGCTTTCCATCTGCTGAAAAGGACACGCGGTTCACGAAATGCGCATGTTTGAGCGGAGAAACCGATGGGCTGGCCGTTGTCGAGATTCCACAATCGAGCTGTGTTGTCGTAGGATGCGCTTGCGAGGATGCAGCCATTTGGTGATATAGCAATGGCATAGACAGCGGTTGGTGTGCTCACCGAGCACAGCGATCTCCTTCCATGTTTTTGTATCCCATGTCCTAATTGAGGAATCAACTGACCCAGATATAAGCGCCAACTGGGTCCAAGCCAGGCAATACACCCAATTTGTGTGTCCTTTGAGAGTTGCAACAAGTTCGCCTGTCTTCAAATTCCAGATTTTGATTGCGGACTCAGAATCAGGAACCGAGCTTCCAGCAGTCGCAAACATGGTCATGTCTGGCGAGTAGACAACTGCCTCCACGCGTTCGTGCCAAGTCTCAATCGGACCCAGGACTGTCTCTCCGTTCTCCACGTCCCACTCCCTTGCAGTCCCATCGTAGGAGCCGCTCACTACTCGCTGACCATCTCGACTCCAGCAGACAGACCACACCGCATTCGTATGTCCC